AAAGTTTTTGTTTGAGGTGAGGTTCTTTGTTTGGTTGTTGTTGTTGGCTTTTCCCCCTCCCTCCTCCCGAAGTACTATTGAAGGTTATGAACTATATAAAAACACTTATGTTTCCCTGTGTGATTTACCTTAAGCACCTGGACTGGTATTTTTCAAGCAGAGAGCGCTCTGAAACTTGTTTCATGAGGCTTGAGAGCCTGTATAGCAGGAAGGATTTTGTGGCAATGCACTCAGCTATGACTCATGAGACCTGAGCTGGCTGTGAACTTCCTCAGCCAAGTAAATGTTTCTTCATGTAAACTGTTCTTACTTGTTTAGAGAGCTAGTATCAGTTATACAGAAGTAGCTGGGACACTTGAATACTTGCAGTGGATTTTATTTTGGCAGGTTTCTTTGCAGGAGGCTGAGGAGGTATACAGAAAGGGTGTTTCAGGTTCCTGGGGGCCTATTCTTTGCAGCATATTCTCGCATGGAGTTATGATTCAATTGTTTGTGTTTGTTTGGGGTTTTTTTAATGCTGGCTCTGGAAGGACCCTTTGGCACACACCCAGGCTGATTTTGCCACAGACACTTAGTCACCTTTGAAAATGCTGTAAAGGTTTTTCAGGTGCTCCCATTCAGTGTGTCATATCAATCTGGGTTTTGTTCCCCGTGCCCTCTCAATTGATGTGTGCATGCTACTTGAGGCTGCTGGGGGTGGGAGGGGTGGTGTTACAAAAAAGCTGAAGTTTTCCAACCTGCTTTAGGTGCTGAGGGTAGACAGTGAACTCCTACTTGTTTCCTGCTTCCCTGCATGACTAAAACATTCCTCTTTTTCACCTCATCTTGGTTGTGAAAGGGCAGTAGCACATATCCTGGCCTCAGCACACGTCCATAGCTTGTTACAGGTGAAAATCCGTATTTATCCCCCAATACCTTGTCGAGTGGCTGGCTAGGCTGGCTAGGACCTGTTCTGTTCCATAATTGCCTCTGAGCATAAGAAGGGAAGTGAGCACTAGGCTGAAACCATGAACCTAAAAAAAAACCCTTAATGAAATTACTAAAGGTTTACAGGAAGAAAGTGAAGGGGAGAAAAATGGAAAAACTTTCAGCAAGTGTAAGAAGAGGCTCAAACTAGTCTGAGGAGCATATTAGAAGAGTAAAGGACAGACTGAGTAAGTGGTGAATAATGCCTTGTTGTCTCTGTTAGATGTAGTTACAAAAAACAATAAAAGCATTTATAGCAAGAGGGAAACCAAGGAGGCTTGTAGTTCACTGAGGAGGAGAAAGTAGCAGAAAATACCAAAAAGTTACTTACTGAAGTCTACCACTTTAGTGATGAAGATGAAATGTAAACTCATTCCTGGCTGAGAAAAGGATTAATCGACAACTTGATTTGTTCTGTGTTAAGAACGGGTCACATGTGCTTCAGGTGTTTTATTTACTCTTGGTAAAACAAATATTAGTGAACTTACCTTTCATGTTCAGTTAATTCAGGATTCTTATGGTGGAGGGTTCTTAAAAAAAAAAGATGGGGGCAATAATGGGTCTGATTTCAGTTGCCAGAAATTTGGAAAATAAGCAATTAATAAGTACTAAAGATAGTAAACAGATAACATGCATCAGTCAAGAACGAATAATGTATCACCTAAGTTCCTTTAAAGCAGTATTTAGCCTTATAAATGGATAATAAATAAAATAAATAAGAAATAAGCAACTGTCTATCTGAACCAACTAATCAGCTGGCTTTTTTTTGTGACATGGAGCTGCACAGTGAGCTGAGTATAATAATCCTAGACCTGATTTTTGGCTGGCCTAGTCTCTTAACTATAGATAATGCAGAAGTGTGAATGCAGTGAATGGCCTAGAAAAGTGTTCAAAGGCTTTAGCTAGACCCCAGGGAAAACATTCCTCTCCCCTGTCTCAGCAATGAGGCATAGATTTTCAAATGTGTTAAAAGTTGCAATGCAAAGAAAGGGAATATGTAAACCTGCCTTTGAAAAGGGTGGAGAGGTGATGGCCTTAAATCACATTAGAAGATGTTTAAGTTAGAGATGGAAAGGGGGGGGGAAATAAGGATGATTGTGTAGTGGAGTAAGTTGTGCATGGAAGTGTGGAATCTGTACTGCAGGCTTTTAGGATTAATTTTGGCAGGTTTTTCTAGCTATGTAGTATAATTTTTTCTAGCTCCTCCCAAAGTGCATAAAAGAGAGAGATCAAGCAGAGAAATGCTGTAATGGCAGGGAAGACTTTGATAGCTAATTCTTGTACGCTTGCTTTTTTGGGTGACTTGGGACAATCTTCCATTGTTGGAAATGCATGTCCCAAGCCACATGGTGAAAGGAGTGTCTGGCAGACAGGTTACTGGGATTAGGCATATATGCCTGACACACAGATGTGGAATGTTTGCTACCCTAAAACAGGTGAACAGTCTTTCTGATATTATATAATAATAATGTAGCAAATGTGTTTTGCCAAGAGGGGCCTGGACTTAGAAGACTTGATGTCCTGTATTCAGTCTATGTGGCAAGTGGGTGGGGGCTACATAGGTTGCTTTTGTGAGAAGATGCTGCCCTATCTTACCAAGCCAGTTCTATCTGGGTCTAAGATGGACCACTGGTGGCTGTAGCTGAGCTAATCAGCAGTGATGGTTTGAACTCTGTGGTACCCTTTCTTAAATAAGTTAAGAACTGTGCTGTGGTAGCTAGGAAAGGGATGAAAAATATGAAAGAAACAACTCTGCCAACACCAAGGTCAGTGAAGACAGAGGGGGAGGACTTGCTTCAGGTGTTGGAATGAAGATTCACCTGCAGCCTCTGGTAAAGACCATGGTTGTCCTCTTGCAGCCCATGGAGGTCCACAGTGAAGCAGATAACCACCTGTAGCCTTAGAGGACCCCACACCGGTGCTGGTGGATGTGCCTAAAGGAGGCTGTGACCCCATGGAGAGCCTGCCCTGGAGAGGGTTCCTAGCAGGACCTGTGGCCCTGTGGAAAGAGGAGTTGACACTGGAGCAGATTTACTGGCAGGATTTGTGATCCTGTGGGAGACCCATCCTGGAGCAGTCAGTGAAGAACTACAGCCAATGGGAAGGATCCGTGTTGGAGAAGCTTGTGGAGAGCTGTTGAAGGGATCCTACACTGGAGCAGGGAAAGAGGAGGGAGTGGCAGAGATAACACATGATGGACTGACCATAATCTCCATTCCCCATCCCCCTGTGCTGCTTGGCAGGAGGAGACAGAGAAAATTGGAAGTTAAGTTGAGCCCAGGAAGAAGGGATGGCTGGGAGAAAGTGGTTTAAGATTTAGTTTTACTTGATATTATCCTTCTCAGATTTTGTAGGTAGTACCTTAATATCCTGAAGTCGAGTGTATGTTGCTCATGGTAATAATTGGTGAGTGATCTCCCTGTTCTTATCTTGACCCACAAGCCTTTCATTATATTTTCCCTCCCCTGTCCAGCAGAGGAGGGGAGTGACAGAATAGCTTGTTGTCCAGCCAGACTCAAGCCGGCACATGTGCTTTCTTAGAGCTTATTCCTATACTCTGTGGTTCAGTGAAGGCAGAACAGTGTATAGAGCCACTTGTGAGGGTTGAGTTTAATTAAGTTGGGATGGTGAGGCATTAAGTAAGCAGTAGCTACAGTTGTTTAACATTGTCAGTTTTGTCAGTTACTGTTGGCTTTTTTAGTTGTTTTCTGTGGAAATTTAAATTTCTTTAAATTGAACTTGGGTTCAGATGCTTAACTAAATGACACTTTAAAAAAAAAGTGGAGCTTCATGTACTTTTGTTAAATTCTTCTTAGCTTATTTTTATTGGATAGTTTGGCTTCCATTGTGCTTTTCTTCTTCCTTTAGTATTTCTACAATAAAGATTCTGTATTATGTGTAAGTAACTCCTGATTTCCAAATTCTTTGAAAATAACTCTTATTGCCCCTGGACTGTTGTTCATGACAATAAATGAGACTATCTTTTAGGTTTTCTTTTGAATGTTTTCATTCAAGTGATTCACAGCACCTTTGTTGTCTGCAAGGTGAACATATTTGCAGGGTGGTTCTTATACTGTAAAGGATATTACTAATGTGTATATATGCCTTTAGCATCTGAGATCAGTATTTGTGGTCCTTTCAGATCACACCTAAAAGCTTGGAGCCTGTTAGCTTCCTATGGTTATTTGCATATGTAACTTTCAAATTCATAAAGGTATTCAGCTATATTTGTTACGTTTCTTTAAGAATAGTTTTTGGGAGGGAAGGCAGTGTGTGATCAGTTGGATGTTTGCTAAGGAGTAGCTTTAAACTGATGTTGTCAGGACACAGGACAGATTAAATTACTGTTTTGTTTCCCCTGTGATTTCCTTACCAGCCTCATATAATGCTACTAAAAGATTTTTAGTATTTAAAGCATGTGAACTGAAAGTTAGATGCATTTGAGTTGTAATATTGGAAAGGACTGTGTATTGCTCTCAATTGTCTAACTGTTCTGTCTTACATGATAAAAATAGTTGAGGCAGAGGGTGCCACAGCTTCCTTTGGTTGCCACTCTTCCTTCTCATTTTGCTGTAGTCTGCTTTTATGGTTCTGTCCTGGTACTTTTTGCTGTGGTGTATTCCTTCCATCTGAAATCAGTGCTTGTAACGATAACCTTCTTTTCTCCTTTTCTGCTTTGAAATTTTTAAAGAACTACCCCACATAGGTATATTTCCTGGCTCTGTCCAGTAGTTACTTTGCTAAAGGATTTGTTTTGAACTAGGAAGTTCTGGTCAATGTTTGTGTGGAACTTCTTTGTGATAATTTTATTTAACAAGAGTATATTAAACAGGCTTTTCTATTTAAGAAGACTGACATTTTTCATTATGAGTGTGCATGTACGTTATTTGCTACAGCTACATAAAATGGAATCTAGGATGAATTAGAGACAATATAGACCAGATTTTCTAATTAGTATTTTAGACTGTCAAAGTATTCTGTGAGTTATCATAGGTCATGTTGCTAATTTTAGCTACTCTTACACTCTCTTGCAGCCCCATGACTTCGATGAATGCAGGTTTGATATTAGTGTGAACGACAGTGTTTGGTACCTCCGAGCTCAGGACTCAGACCACAGACAACAATGGGTGGATGCAATAGAACAACACAAGGTATGTGGTTGTTTTTTCTGATATCCTTTCTCACTCATTAAATTGATTGGTGTTTGCAGAGGGTTGTAATCTTCCCTGTACAGTCATTAGAGTACTCTAAGAATTTACTATAGGTAAAAGCTGCAAAATGGAAACTATTTGTTAAATGCTTCAAAGGAATTTATTTGCTTGTTCTTCGTAGAGTTTAGAGAAATTGGAGCTAACAACTGCAAACTTCTCTTGAGCTCTCTAGCTTGAAGAAGAAAAAACTTGCATTATGTTTGAGTGATTTATAAATGGCTTTGTCCATCTTCTCTTACTGATTATTGAATTGTTTCTTATCTGTCGTAGATGTTAAACCTGTTAGTCTTGGAGTAAATTATCTTAGGTTGTCATTCTGGTTTTAGGCTCCTCTCTTTTCATCATCTGGCTGCTTTTACTGTATCTGATTACTGGGTTTTTTTCTCCTTGTCACTTAAGGCCCTGCTCTACATCAGCATTTTGATTCAATTTTCCTTATCTATTCATTATGTCTTCCAATGAACCCAATTATTTTAATTTTACCTAAGGGGCTTGAAGGTCATGTATTTTTAAGGTACATAGCACGTGAAACATCTGTTTTGTTTTGAGGTACAAAATTGCTCCATGGTGTTGAGTTTAACTAAAATACCTAGTACAATGCAACTATGCATCTGGGTTATATAGGTGTTACAGGAATACAAATTATGATAGATATTGAAGTAGGTATGTATTTTTACCTCGAAATATTGCTTCTTGAAATATTGCTTATGCAATTGCTTTCATTTTTTATTGGACAATCCTAACAGTAAGCAGTACATGCTCTTAAATCTAAAGTGTTGCCTTTTGATAATGCTTCTCTAATAAAAATTGCCACAATTAGGGTAGTAGTCCATTTATAGCCTTTGCTTTGATACAGAAATAAAATAACAATACAAAATTATGTTGCAAAACCAGGATTCTTTTTATAGAATCACAGAATGCTTTGGGTTGGAAGGGACCTTCAAGATCATCTAGATCCAGTCCCCCCTCCCACCCACTAGGCACACTTCCCACCCACTAGGGACACTTTCCACTAGACCAGATTGCTTGAAGTCCTGTCCAGCCTGTCTGCAACTTCCCTGAGTAACCTGTTCCAGTTTTCCAATGTGTTTTTCAGCTTTTCCAGTGGGTTTTCTTTAGTCTACTGAAAGAACAGTTAACCATTAAGTATTTTTGAGACAAAAATACTGCAATTTGTTTGTGCCACAATCCTAGAGAAAAATGACCGAACGGGATACACTGAACAAGTTCTGGGTAGAACTGGGATTTCAAACACTGTTTTACAGGGGTTGGAATCGTGAGCTATAGTGTTGTGAGGACATGGAACTTCATAACCCTGGGCTGAAATTCATACTAGGTTTGGTGAATTACTTAGTTGGTGCAATGCAGAACTTCAGTCCAGATAAGCAGAAATGCAGGCTGGGTCATTGCATTCTACCATACAGAAATTAATGAGGAAAAAAAAAAAAGAATCCTGTCTTAAGTTCTGCTCTGCACAGCATCAAAGGGAAGTTTGTTTATGCTGTTCTTTTCCCTCTGCTAAGGCTGTCCTTAACTGTTGCATTGTTCTGAGCTGGCAAAGTTACAGAACCGCCTATTTCTAATAAGCAGGTATTGAGTGGTAATAGTTTAGAGCTTGTCATTGTATGCTTACATTTGGAATTGTTTTTCTGTGTCACTTACAAAAAGAAGAAAAAGTTTTATTCTGCTTTACTGCCCAAGCCCTGTCATGAGGTTATCTATTTACTTTTTTGTTTTCTGTCTGCTATTACTGGTACATTTACGTCATCTTACTCAGGCTCATTGAAGAGTGTGGAGGAGCATGAATTCTAGCATTCCAAAAGTGGCCTTCCTTTGTGAAGAAGTTTTATTAATTATGCAGTTTTTCCGATTAAAGGCTTCTTTTTTTCAGTTTGAACTGACTTTGTACCAGATCTTGGTCTTCACATTTAAAGGAGTGGAATGACTGCTTTCTTGGATGATTCCATTACCCATTTTTTAGATAATTTAGTTAGTATTGGGACGGGGATAATGAGTACTGTTTTCTTTTGGGGTTTTTTTTAGTTATCTTTCTGCTCCTTCTTAGAAGAAAGTGAGTCATGTGTTCTGGATTGTTAAATAAATTGGAGAAAAGGATGTCCACAAGTAGCAACTGGAAATAAAACTCTTTATGTACATGCTGAACTGACAAGAAATAGCTCAGTTTGCATCTTGCTGTCCTAGTGTGTTAACACTGGACTTGACTGTTCTGAATCTGATGGCTTTTTAGTATGTGTAGTTTGCAGTTTCATGGCTATTTGACATTTTTCATTTTCCTGCATGCTCATTTTGACTCTATAATGTTTACAGTATTTAAGAAAAATAACAGTTTTCTCCTTTCTTAAATGAATTGGGAAGTATTATGACACCTCACTTCTAAATAAACCATCAAACCATTTAATATATTAAAGCAATAAATTATTTAAAAGCATTCTTTTTGTAGCGTGCAACTAAATACCATGATCAAGACAAGACAAGGCAAGGAAAGCAACAAAAGGTAATGCAGTCTGGTAACAATAGCTTCGACTCAAGTTAGAAGTATATCAAATCTCAGAAAATCGTTAGTTACTAGCATTTTTGTCCAGTGCAATATTCTGTATGGACAACACTTGAGTGATCCTTAGTTTTAAGTAACTTATCACCCATTCTTCAACTTTCTTCAGTTCTAGTGGAAGTTTGCATCTAAGTGTTTGAGAGTAGGAGAAGATGGGCTTTTATGAGGCAAAATATCTCATTTCGCGGAAAAGTTTGAATTATTTATTTGTTGTCTGTTTACTCTGAATTTTTTTAAAGGAACTTTCCTGGTCAGGTTACCAAAGCTGAAGCAAAAGTTCTCAGAACAAGCTGTTGTTACCAGACAAAAACAATTTTTGAGAGCTAGGTTCTAGAACTGACATACCATTTGAATAAAATTGAGAGGGGAAATTTTCCTTTACTAAGCAGTCATTTTGATTAACTTTAGTCTACTGCTATATAAAAGACTTTTTTGTTTGCTTTTGAAGCTCATTGTTGCTTACTGAGTGGGTAGGTAGTTCTGGTAGGCTGCTTAAGCTGTTTGCTAACAATAGTATGTTTGTGAGACTTACTGTAGCATGTCACAAGGTTGTTTATCTTTAGAGTATGAAAGATGGACTGAAACTTTGTGACTGTGTTTCATTGTACTCCAACAGAGAAAACATTGGTTTAAATTAATTTTGTATTAAATTTTAGTATGAGCAGACTTAGGAAAACTTTCTGCTTAGCAGCACCAATGAGTAGCTGGTAGCTGAGAAATTCAAGACATTTAATGTTCAAGCATAAAAACTGTTGGAATTTGCAGTTCTCTTTTTCAAACCATTCTATTAGCCTTTTCTGGCATTGAGGTTCCTGAATGCTTACTAGATGAAATATTTCAAGTACAGCTTCTAAAATGCTTATTAATCTCCCTGAACTGGAAAAGTCTAAAACAGTGATAAGACCATCAGTGAGTCTTTTTTTCTACTTCATGTTTCATTAAATGTACTGAGCAGATACTTATTTGTAAAATACCTGGTGGTAAGGGTGTGTATCATGAGGAAGCTTCTTTATTTGCTACCCAAAGAGGTAGTCAGGTCTAGCTGCCTGATGACCTTTTCTTAGAGGGATGTAATGGCAATACATATTGCTGAAGAACTCAAGACCAGACTAAGTTTCCACATTTCTTCACTGTAAAAACATCAATGCTGCATGAGCCCCAAGGTATCAATGCTTTTGAAAAATTAAGTAAAAAATCTTATTAACTAATAGATTGAAGGAATGAATTCAGGTTCCTACTGTGGTTGAAAATTAAGCATGGAATTTCTAACCTTTGAGAAATGGACTTAAATGTTGTTAGTTCTATACTCTGAGGAAAACATCTATGTTGATCTGTAGAGAGTACAGACTCCTGCAGCATGTAATATTTAACATAAAATTAATGTTTGCTATGCAATATGGATAAACAAGATTTACTTTTTCACCAAAATGGAAATTGTTTTTTTACACATGTGAAATTTAGCCAAAGTTTTCGTTCTGTACCCTCTCCTCTGGTAGAATCAGTATGTTAGCTTGCAAACTTACATTACTTCTCAAAGGTAGAGTTGAGGGGAGTGAATTGTTGTTTGCTGTGAGAACCATCTGGATAGTAAACTTATTTTAAGCAAATCAATTTGAACTCCTGAAACCCAGATGATGATTTCTTGTGATGCTAGTCTTAACACCTGGGTTGTAAATTTGCTGAGAATGGATACTCATTTGTTTAGAAATTAATATTTCATGAGAAATTCTGTATCAGCTTAGGTTTGTCCCACTTTGTTCAATCTCAGTTTTAGTTTTTTCAGCACAAATTATTCATGTGTTCATTATTCACTTCAACTCAGCAGCAAAATAAATTGACAGTGTTTTAAGTCTTTGAATTTCAAATCTTATGTTTATCAAACTGAATTACTGTTTTAAGTCTTGCTGAACTTCTCAAGATACCTATCTTCAGTGTGTCAAATTGTAAAAGGTCATTCTCCAGACAAACAGATATTCAACAAATTCGGCATATAAGGTGTAGGTAGGTTTCTAGGTGATACATGAGATATTTGTAGAGCAAGAGGCATGAATTTGAGTCTTACTGTGAATGACATCAAGTGGCTGCCTTGAAGGAGTTAACTGCTTCATGGTTTTTTTCTCTGGATTTGACAGTGGGAGAGGAGTGAGGAGTCAGCTACTTAGAACAGGGTTATGCATAACCATTGGGAAGGGTGAAGCTTATAAAATGCCTCTTCTCTAGTAATATTTTTCCCTAGATAACTTGGGGGGAGGAGGCATGGCAGGCTTAGAGCATTAGAAATAGTTTAGCTTGTCAGTAATTCTAACTTTAAAAAATTCTTAATATACTGTATTTGGTTTTGAAGTTATCAGTTGTCCAACTCAGTATG